GTGCAATCCGGAAGAGAATTAGGTTGGCCCAGAGAAGCTGGTCGTTCACTGTTTTGTTCACCCGGCGTTCTCCCGAGAAGGTTTGAGGAGTAGACAGAATGGGACACGTGGACACGAGCCTTATCAGTGGCCGGTCGAATCCAAATCGTCACCTTAATGCCATCAGACTGTCATGGTATTCTATGGAGATGTAGCATGTTCAAGCACCAGATCATCGGGTATTACCGCATTATATATATGATCACTGGCTCACTTAGCCTGAACGGTCCTTAGACAGGGTTGATTATCAATTTGTGAAACATTTCCTTATCTGCAATCTAAGGACACGCCAGTTAGTATGTAACCTTTATAAAAACAGTCAGACAATTTTCTTACACATTCACATAGATTCATTTTTTCCGAAAAAGGTGAGATAATTTGATCTCACAGATGGTCAACGAAAGGACTCAAAAGTAATCGCATCATGAATATCATATGCTATTAAAGCAACGGATAGAAGACAGAGCATACCTTGAGCGCTGATTGTAACGGTTTTGAGACACGGTCCACAGAATCTGATAAGTCCAGAGTTACCGATCCACCGCGACGAGCACTGGCTGGTGTAAGAGAATCTTTACTCGTCGATTTTGAATGTTGTACGTGCGTTGGGGCCCAGAATGTTGGATTTACAAGAGGACGATCATTACTACTAGTAGTTGAGCGTATTGTGATCTGAGGGACTTGTAAACACCTGAGTTCCGATGAGGATGAGGAAGAGGAGGACAAACAGGCAGTGGAGGGAACTACTTCCTGGGGAGCGACTCGGGATTCAGTATGTAAGGGTAATTGGGTCAGGGATTCGGAGAGTCGAGGCTGTCGTTCCGTTTGATGATCACCTGAGCGATCACGTGTGGACGATCGACCGACCCGAGGATCGCCACTCGTGGCTGCGACTATGAAAGGAACAGTTGATGGTCCCAGCTCGGTTGGCACGATCCCGCGTGCCAATACCGTGGCAGTCTCCTCACCGCTAGCGTACGTTTTTACATTGGAAAGACGCGGACTCGATTCCAGTGGTCTTTTTCTTCCGGGGATCGGGACATGGACCGAACTGGATTCAGTCGATGCACGAATAGTTCGATCAATTCGAGGTTCTTTCAAATCCCTGCGACCTGTCGGATAAAAAGTTCCAATAATAAATTATCATAAATCAACAGTGAAATCACTATATGATAATGACTAAAAGCGATGAATGAGGAATAATAATAAAAAGCCCGACATTTAAGCTCGGTATAAAGCGTAAAAACGTTCCTTCCTGCAGAGTGTTTTGAACATGTTTCATATAAGAGCCACCCTGGACGACCTGGTCGATCAGGGAATCAAACTATGTGCTTACAAAACAGGCTGATCACGTATTATTTTGGCCTTGACTATGGTTTTCTTCTGCCCAGGGAAAACCATTTTCAAAAAGAACTAAGGTTAATTGTTCAAATATTTAAAGGTTGATTCGTACTCGTAGCAATCGGAGCATATAACTGGATTCATATTCCCAAACATTGGGGCTTAATGTTATTTTTATTCAGAATAAACACTGTCAACTAGTTTGGAATCACTACAAACGATGCCTGTCTGCGCTGTGCAAATCTCATTTATACTTGATTTGGAAACCGGTAACCTCTATTAGTTCATATTCTATGTGTCGTATGACGTAATCAGATGTTTCTGATATGTCAGTGTCTGTGGGTGTTTCCCAGACCTTATCGTATTACTCGCCTGTTAACTTACCTAGTCTCGGGAGTGGCGTTTCTTCAGCTTCTGCAAATATGTAGTGAACTGTGAAATTTTCAGACCATAAAACAGCTTCTCGGATAAACGTATTGAAAAGGCTCCTTTTAAACCCTAAGCACCATATGCATTGTAGATTGGCCTGTGGTCGTTCGCATTTCGCCATGTGC